TCTCTCTCTCTCTCTCTCTCTCTCTCTCTCTCTCTCGTAGTCTATTAACCAGTATTTTTTAACTGTTTTTTCATAAATGAGTGCCAGTAATGACACTTAATATAATAACATTACTGAACAGGAGTTTAGGTATTGAATTAAATGCATTTTCAGGTCCTTTTTGTGTGCATTTAATTGTGTCTCTATTGTAGTGAATGATGTTATGAACGGTTTTGTTGACATGGATTTTGCATTTTTGCCAAATTATACGACCGGCCAAACAGGTCTACCATTCATAACAATACGGCCAACACGTCCATCCCTAACATCTGCTTCTCTCTCTCTCTCTCTCTCTCTCTCTCTCATTTGTATTACATCCTTCATTGTTGTCTGGAAGAGACATAATTAACATGACTTTAATAATAAGAAAAACATGTTTAAAAATAAGTTTCTTCACAAAATAATGATAACAACAATAATAATCTTTTGCAAAAACATAACTCCTTTTCAACTACTAATACATCATTGAATTAAAAGGAGGTTTTCAAACAAATTCTAGTTGTTTTTGACCCAAATTTATTGTATGCCTTGTATTGTATAATAAAAATTTATAAATATAACCAAAAAATACAACTTAATAACAGAGAGATTATTTAACACACAAATGATATTCAGATTATTAAAAAGTAAATTCACAAAAGAATTGACAAAAAAACATAAAATTAATTATTATTTATAAATAATCGAGAAATCTATTGAAAACAACTATTTAATAGATTGAATCTTTGAATCTGTTTTATTATGTGATAAACTAATTGATTGATTAAGTAATTAATTAAAAAATACAATATAATAATATGAGTACACAATGTTCTAGATGTTGGGCATATTTTAATCCGGCTTAAAAATAAAATATGTTTCGCAAATTAATTGCCAAAAAAGGTATTATATATTTGATAAGCGGAACGACAGTATTGTTAATAATACGAGCGGTAGGAGTGTGTCGGGTGTCGGGGCTTAGCTCTCTCTCTCTCTCTCCCTCCCTCCCTCTCATCCCTGTCTCTCTCTTTGCTCTACTATTTATGACATAACAACTGAATAAATACTGAATAAATGTATTGATATATGAAATAAAATTCAAGTCAAACACCGAATTATTAGACGTTTACGTATATAATAGACACTAAAACTACAGCTTTTCCTATGGAGTGGTATTAGTTTGAGAGGGAGAGAAGGAGAGAGAGAGAGAGAGAGAGAGAGNTTATTTCATATATCAATACATTTATTCAGTATTTATTCAGTTGTTATGTCATAAATAGTAGAGCAAAGAGAGAGACAGGGATGAGAGAGAGAGAGAGAGAGAGAGAGAGAGAGAGAGAAGTGTGGCATTATATACAGTGTTAGAGCGCCGGAAGGTATGAAAAATAAGAGGAGAGAGCAGATGGTTTGGAGAGCTGATCGCACACGACATACCAATCGCACCGGGATTTTAAAGATGTACACAAACCCCTAAATTATGAAGTTTTATGTATATTTTCAGACATTCAAGTATTGTATGCCATTGTTATTAAGTCTTAAATCTAAACGTCACCTCTAGGCTGGGCTTTAATGGGACACATCGTACACATACTGTACTCAAACTGTACACTATCTGAGAGTACATTAAACTGATTAACAATAACTTCTCAACAAATTTAGTTAAATATTAAATTCTGTCGTATTCTCGCTATTGTGTCAATAAATATGAAAATATGTTTACAAATACCATAAAACTTGAAAATAAATTATTATATTATACCAGAAATAAACGACAAACGCATTGATATTGAAATGTTTTTCAGCCAAACCTTATGTTTATCTCAAAAATAGATCTTCAGTTCATATAATTGGAAATGATTTGTTTTTACAGAAAATATTTTACTTCTGATAATAGGTTTAACAATATGTATATAAAAAACACATTGAAATTGATAAATATATTGTATTAAGAGATTGGAGAAAATAATAAAATTATTTCCTAAACAATATATGATATGAAACGAGAAATGAAAACAATAATATAATTATCACCCGATATAATACAGTATATATTTGTAAACACACTGTCAATATTCATATCAATATTGCTTATCGTTGGCATAAGTTATAAGTTATAACTTATTAATATAACTCAATTTAAAGTAAATTTTATATTTAATCATTAAATTCTATGACTAATAGCGTATGATATATGCGGTTATCATAAGAGTATATAACGACCGAAACAATCCGCATATCATCGGTCTCTCGAAGGTTAAGGAATTTTATGTTTTGATTCTCAATTCAAGTGTATATTTATATTGTAATCAAATAATAACATTTCACTTAACATGTCATATAATTATATCAGTTTTATAAGTTTTCACTTCAACTTAAACATTATATTTAGATTTTGTTTAAAAAAATAATTAATGAATATTTTTAAAAATTTCCTTTTATTATAATATTATAAACTTTTAAAAGATTTTATAAATACAGAATTCAAACAATTATTTAAAACTAGATTTTAATTATAAAATATCGATCGATTGGGAAGAATAAAAATAATAATAAGAGAAGAGATAATAATGTGTTGTTTTTTTGTAATAAATTGTTTTTCTGTTTTGTTGATGACATCCTTCCGAATCAGTTTAGTTGAGAGAAAATATTATTAATTATATATCAATATATGTGTGGAAAATAATAACACATTTATAGTCAAATTACATACAAATTACAGCATTTGAAGAGACAATAAATATCAAATTTACAGTAATTATTAAAGAATTATTAGATTTTGTTTTTTATAACTAATATTAATATATATTTATATTTGTAATTAATTATTAAATTGTATTTATTTTGTTGAAGAGATGATAGATTTTAAGGAAATGTAATAGAAATTTGTTTATCCAATAATATTAATACAGAATTATAGCAATAATAGGTAGCAAATAATGAGTTGTTTTGTGTGTTTTTCGTATCCGATATAATAATAATGAGGCACTTATTTATAGACGAGATTTAGAGGACATTATTTCACTGATAGAGCAGATAATCGGTGATCGCTTTCGGAAGACTCAGCTCTTCAGACAACTTCGATATTCTCGACTTTCCTGCCTCTCGACGTATAACTAGTCTACAAATGTCTTTAAGTGGTAGCGGTTCCGCTATTTATTGCCAATCAATACATATTCATCAACAATAAACACCACCGAAGAAGACAAACAAAAAGAAAACAAAACAAAAAATAAATAAATTTTCTATTTTCAAAACCATTACATTTCAAACTCAGAAATTCAGACACAAACACATTGTGTCCGTAAACGAAGAGACACTTCCAGCAAAAGACATCGTAAAGAAGATAATAAGAGATAAAAAGGCAAACTTACGATCGAGTCCTCCGATGTATTTCATGGTGATCTCGCAGTGACCCCAAACTGAGCTCACGATTGGGTACAACTTCTTGCCGCGAAGGCCGCGGAAGGCGACGCCCAGATACTGGCCGTCGACCACGAATGAGAGGGTGCCGTCATCCATGTCCAGCACCACGTAGAAAGAGTCGGGCACTACAAACGACTCGTCGTTGGACAGCACCGACGGATAGGTCACTCCCGGGCTATTCTTCAGGTCGTGGTAGAGCTTATTGCGGCCCAAATCCCAGCCCCAGCTCTCCTGATTGGCGCCGACCAGCGACTGATAGCCGTTGGTGTGGAGATTGGCTTCGCTGGTGGCCACACCGACCACGGCATGGGTGCCCCGTTGGCGAGTGCTCCAGGTCATTTGCCACAAGTGCATGCCGCGAGTGTAGCCGACACAACCGCGAATACAATCGGTGCTCTGAGCGACCGGATGCCGGTGAAAGGTTGTCGGGTCGTCCTCTTTGACGAATATGTTGAGCGACCGGTCGTCGGCACTCCAGCCGTGTTTACACTGTGTCTCATAGTTAGCTGCGGGCATATCCAGCAGCAGATCCAGTCTCGCCGGACGGGCGCTGTCCAGAAGGTCTTTGGTTCGCGAGACAATGGACGACGAGTTGTCCCGATTGATGGGCGACTTAATTGAGCTCACTTTCTGTCCCATTATGGGTGCGAACAGCTGTTGCGGCCAACGGTTTGGGTGGTGTTGGACGAGACCGACGGGTCGGTAGATATAGAAACGGGGTTTCGCTTTACACGGCTTCAGAGGTCCGCACTTTTGGCTACTACTCGATGAGGGCTTTGACAGATCGCACCGATACAGACCATAACCCGAATAGAAACTACTTATGCTATAAATAGACAATAAAAAAGAGACAATTTATTAGACATTTCATTCAATACATTGTTTTCGACGTAAAGATTTCGTAAGATTTTTAAGCTCTCAAAACGTGTAATTTTTTAACGTTAAATACAACAGAAATTGCTTTTAAATAGCGATTAATTACATGAATTCGCCGCCAATTAATCACAAAATTAATTAATTAGATGTGTATTTAAAACCAGTGAATGAATTGATGTTTAAAATCAATTTTGTTTCAAATAAAATCGTGGATAAAAAGCGATGAAATTAATAAAAGGCGTGCGAATGGTGTGAACAGCGAGTGAATAGTGAAATGAAACACAAAATGCATAAAACAAAAGTAAAAAACGTATTAAAAATGAATGTAAAAATTGTCAAAAACTACACATAAGGTATTCAACACGTACTGAAACATGCATTTCATATGACATGAAATGATTGAAAACTATTGCACAGAAAATAGTTGATCTATTAGTTGACAATAAAACTATTTGAGCGATGCTTTTAATCCATACAATGAATACTCACTAATTATTAAACAGTAATTTTAATGAATGCGCTGTCGATTCAAATCTTATCATTGAATATCAAATTCACACAAAAAACTTCATACACTTTACTGTTTGATGATTTGGTGTTACACTATATCTGGGCATTAGTTTTGTGACTAAAACTCTGACAAAAAGCACAACAAAAACATATTTTGTAATAAAAAGTATTTGTATTTTTCAAGTTCTTTGAACTTTGCATTTAGAGATATACTGGATATTCATGTAAACAATGATTAACACAAAATATAGTTATCATTTGGTTTTATATCAATATATGGTTTTATATACAACTTTTATATGGTTCGTATGGAAACCGTTAACTATTAAAGTTTCCATAAGTATTATAAAACTACTGATAAAGTGATCTAAAAATAAGAGTTAAATCAAAAGTCGGTTTCAATTTTAAAAAGTCAAAAGATTTTGTTCACCAGAAAAAAGTTCAATAGTTTTTAAATCACGTTTTTTTCAGTCCACAGATTAGACTAAAATACTCGTCAATTAATAGCTATTTTTGTTGAAATGATTCAACAATTTTTCGCACAATATTTAGAGCAAAAATAGGGAAAGAATTGAACAAAAAGTTTTTCAAAAGTTTTAATAAAACTTTTGACGTGTTATGAAAGGAGAAGAGAGCGTACAATATATGGCAAACACATACGAAATACATACCAATCAATATTATAGTACATTATATTCAAATAAATATCAATGAAGAGCACAAAAATAGACTTTTAAATGTCGATAAAATAAACTAATGGTAAACACAAACATACATTTAATAGCAAAATATTAAATATTTTTCTCAACACATCGTCGCTGAAGAAGAAGCAGTAGTTCTGCTATTTTTGTAAACCAAAGGCCATTAGTGTTTGGAGAGAGAAGTCTCTGAACGCAATGTTAGCTGAGTTTTAAGGTTTTGTGTCGAAAGAGGCAAAACTCAAAACTCTTATGCCTTTAAACAGCGAAATAATTGCTCGAAAAACTATTTTTGGCCACAAATATAGGTTACAGTAAAGAGTGTTATAATACACACAACCGATACGAGAGACAGACTGAGAGCAACACAACTACTAGTGGTTAAAGAAAGACTAGTATTTGGTATTTGTATTCCTCTTTTATGCGGACTCTTCTCTCGTCGAACGTAAGAAAGAGAAGTGTATTCAAGAAATGCATTCAAAAAATGCATCTCTTTTTCTCTCTCTCCTCTCGTGGCGAACATCTGCTCAATAGAGATATGCAGTAAATATGACTCTCGGAGGCGACCCAAGTCTTCGTACAAAAGAGGTACTACCAGTGTATCAGTGCCTCCAAATGCATAGCCATTGCCAGTGCCAGACGTCGGGGGCACTGGAGTTACGGCTTTGGGGGCAACAGTAAGAGAGGGGGCGACGAGTTTAGGGGTCAAACAGTGAGCGCACGTTTGGCACACGAGTCGATCGCGCGGATCGCACGTACCTTTCAATTGATAGTAAGCTTAGAGACCAGACTTTTTTCTGCAAAGCCAACGATTTATTGCCTTTCAATGGATTTGATAACAAATTGGGATTATATCACAAAATTTATTGTAGAATGAGTTCACAAAAATTTATATAAATTATTCACTAGACTTTTGTGTAGGAAATAAAACTTTGGTTACTTTGGTATGAGTTAACGAAAGGCACAGTAATCATAAAATATCACACATTTTTTGTTTTGTTTCACTCGTAAACGAGATGATCATTGACTGGGAAGTGACTGATTGGCCAGTAGTTGGCAATTGTTGTAATGTTTTTTATATACTGGAGATATTTTTGGACAAACAATACATATAAAAATTAATATGTTGTGTAAAAAGCATATACGAAGGGCTGGTATGGCCTTCGGGGAGAGGGAAGAGAAGTGTAATACACAAAAAGGTGGCACTCATTGAGGCTCTGGCGTACAGTAGAGACACACAGAGAGCAGCTGTCGCTGGAATCGGTCGGAGGCTCTGTTTCGATGAGATATAAGAGTATATATTCGCTAATCAAGTGAAATGCGGGCCAACACAACACACGTACCCATAAAAACCTGGTGTTTGGCCAAAGATATGGTGATTGTGTTTATTTGTAAGATGAGAGATGTGTGCACTCGACTGGTACTCTGTCTCTCACCTGCCCTTTGCTATTATGATATACAGTACACACGACAGGCATATGAAGGAGGACTCACTGACTCCGATGGCAGGACTGGCACTCAACTCACACTCCGAGTCTCTCTCTCTCTCTCTCTCTCTCTCTCTCTACTATTTATCTCTAGTCCCTCTCTTCATACACACCAATACATTAAAAGCATCGCAACACTAAAAACCACAAATGAGTTTAATGTGTGGCTCTTCTCTTCAATGCTATACAAAACATACATAACATCTGACAGAAGGCACCAGAAGATGAAGAATAAGGGAGAGAATGACGTGAAGAGTGGTTAGAGATAACGGTTTTCAGTCATTTATAGCCCCCTTTTCTGCTCAAAACACACACTTATTCTCTCAATTTTCTTCACTAATAATCACTTAACCATAGAGTGTATACCCCATCAAGTGATCAGACAATGTGTTTGGCCTTCAATTACCACAATAACAACATTACACACATTGAATGTCATTGAATTTTGTACACAAATAGACACTACAGTAGTATTTAGTGTACGATATTATATGGGGTCTAAACGGAGTGTTTGTATCGGCAAAATGTGACGACAAAATTGTATTATTAGTGGCTTATAATTATGTCTAATGAGTGTTACATTTGGTTTTAATTAACAAACGCTGAGAATAATTATAAACCAAATAATTCATCATATATTTCAGTATAATTTTGCGGACCAAAGCTATTCCCGAATTAACAAAACACAAAACAAAAGTTTTCAAATAAATCTCTTTTGACGTATTTTTCAAAATTAATTACACATTTTGTTTTAGTGAATAACATTGAAATTAAATAAAACATTTGGGAAATTACGGAAAGCATTAACCGATTTGAATGGCAAACACTCACCAAAAAATCATATGTTGTGAATCATAAGAGTAGACAATTTGGTGGACATTTCACATGATATACAGCTTTTTTGGTAATACAAAGACAGACACAAAGAGAAGTCCTAGAAAATTATTGCCAGCCTTTTGTTACTAAACACAGGTTTTGTAATCTTTTTAGAAACTGATTGGTATAACAACTGTCTCTCTGTCTGTCTATCTTTGCCTTTACCATAATGTATCGGTTCATATGATTTCAAACTCCAACATTTTAAAGTAATGTTAACATTAAATAAAAAGGTAATTATTTGAGACGGTGTGTAGCGAATGAAACGCTCGGAATAAGTGATAATTATTGTAATTTAAAACTACATTTTTTTGGCACAAAAACTTTTAGACAATCTGTGGATTTAGTGTACAAAAGGGATCGAAACAACAGTTTGTCTATAAATTTATTCTCAACCAAAACACGAGAAACACTTTAAACACTATTTTTTGTAAAGTTTTTGTTTTGTTTTATTACACAATTCCTGAGAAAGCGTTTAGTTTTAACAGTTATTTTCTCCGCTCAAGACTTTTGGGCGTTATTTCAACAGTAGTTTTGAAGATTATTTTCCGAAACAATTATTGTTTGATTTTTTATTTATTTTTGTTTCGCTCACTCTTTTATATATCATATATATTATGCCGTTTTGTTTTCAGTCAAATAAAAAACTTGTTTTTTGTCATTTATTTCTATTTTTCTTGACAAACGTCTCAACAGTGGAGACCTTTCTCTTCATTGAATGATTTAAATGGACGTTAAAAATGTGTGTTATCTTCAAAAAAGCACAATAAAAATGAATTGCGAAAAAAATTGTGAAAATAATTTTTTGGTCCCAAAACTCTATAATAATATTGCCTTCACTTCAATGTTTCGTAACGGAAATGGAGAGAAGAAATACTCTAATAATTCCCTTCTTCTCCAGTGAATCGTTGAAACGATTTTTACGGCAAACATAAGGGTTTTTGAGAGACGACTAAACACTGAAAATGTTGTGTTTCATATATAATATACATTATATCCATAGGAATAACAGTACAGAGAAATGTTTTATATATTTATTTCCCAACGATTTAGTTCTTTGCCTCAAAGGAGAGCACAAATCAATTATTTATTCCGTAAGAAATGTTTGCTCACAAAATAAACACAAAATGTTTTGTGAAAAATTAAATTTTAATCAAAAATGAGTTTCTTTTTTTAAATATTAAAGATATCATCGGTTTTGAAGGGAAGGAGAATAAATATTTGTCACAAAAATATTTTTATCAACAATTGTTTTCAATGGTATACAGACTTAGAGGACGAGTGAAAGTGTGTTTTAGTAGTGAATGGTTTGGACCACTGGTTGCGTCGGACAACAGGCTTAACACAAACGGGACGTAAAATAGTGGCAAAAACTTTGTGTTAAACTGAAGGGAAGGGGAAAATCGACTCACAATTTACGGCTTATTGTTCAACGATTGTGAACAGAAATACTGAAATTCCCATTTGAAGGGCAAGTATTTGTTGCACTCAAATATTAAATGAAATAATGTTTGAAACATAACGTATGACAAAAAAGAAACTTTGAAAGAGCAAAAGAGACGAGAGAGAGAGAGAGAGAGAGAGAGAGAGAGAGTATCGAAAGTCAGAGGCATTTAACTAATATAATATACATTATATCCATAGGAATAACAGTACAGAGAAATGTTTTATATATTTATTTCCCAACGATTTAGTTCTTTGCCTCAAAGGAGAGCACAAATCAATTATTTATTCCGTAAGAAATGTTTGTTCACAAAAGAAAACACAAAATGTTTTGTGAAAAATTAAATTTTAATCAAAAATGAGTTTTGTTTTAAATATTAAAGATATCATCAGTTTTGAAGGGAAGGAGAATTAATATTTTGCACAAAAATAGTTTTATCAACAATTGTTTTCAATGGTATACAGACTTAGAGGACGAGTGAAAGTGTGTTTTATTCGTGAATGGTTTGGACCACTGGTTGCGTCGGACAACAGGCTTAACACAAACGGGACGTAAAA